CGATTTGAGTTTGGCAAACTCAAGGCGCGACGCTGACATCTAGCGTATTGTCGCCCTGCGACACATGGAAACATCTATCACGCTCCCGAGAGCTTCGTGGTTTCTCGCACGGGTGAGTTTACGATCGCAGCAGCTCAGGTCCATAGCTTGAGCTCAGCTCAATGGCCCTTCGGCCTCCCGGGCTACTGCCGAGAAGTGCGGAGCTGATCATAAGCGTCCAAGACGTCTGGGCAGTGTTGTCGAAGTGGCACCTCAAACTCCCACGAGTTGTCGGAGTTTAGGAATCCCGCCACTTCACAAGATATTGGACTTGACCCTGTCGACAACATCGACCCACAAGGCATTCCACATGATAGTGGACGTCATCGTTGCCATCGAGAAGAGTTGGCGGCGGACGATGACGACTTGGTCGATCGCTATCCGGTGACTCGCGATGCTCTTCGCACTGTGGAGGAGAAAGTCTCTCGTCGTCGGCACTCCGCCGACGAGGTTGCATACCGCTGTGCTGAAGACCTCGAGAGCCTGCAGCAATTTGTGCACCGACAGCCTCGTTGAAAATTATTGTGCTCTGTCGAAGCGGCTCCTAGCAGTTGGGAAGAATAATACGTCATTTCGTGAGCCTTGGGCGGTTGGAAACGAAATTTGTTGCACTCCGTGCTCAGAACCAGTTGCCGGTCCAGCTTCTGGGTGGCCGAGCGCCTTTGGGCGCCGCATCCCGGTACGGCTTAAGCAAGCCCACATGAACACCGGGTGGGTGCGCATTATTCTCGGAAGGTTCAGCTTATACGCAAGGTCTCGCTTGGACACGAGTTTAAAAGTCCCAAAAAACGTGGACGGAACTTTGTCTTCACAACAGAGACTGCATGTGTAGGAACGTTTATAAGATTTAATGAAACAAGGTCTCCGACCTCAAAGTTTTCCGCATTTCTTCTGCGTCTTCCGTCTGCGTATTATTTCTGCATGTCTTGGTTTTCAGTATTCGTATCGTGAACGTGTCGTAGGTACTCAGTCTAGTAGACAGGAATTCATCAGCTTCTTTTCGAACAGTGAGAGAGCTGACTTCAGCTAGCCGTTCGGCTATTTCTCCAAATTCCGAGCCATGGGATGGCAGCATCAGCGGGACGAGACGGTTAGCAAGCCTGTTCACGCAGAACGGTGCGTAGCCGGTAAACGCATGCACTGCATTATTCAGAGCGTACTCTACAAGTTACAGCATGGCGATCCAGCGCTTCGGCGTCACAGCACAGATGCTGCAAAGAACGTCTCCAATAACACCTTTCACGCTCTCAGTTTGATCATCGGTCTGCGCATGGTCTGCTGTTAACAGATTCAATTTGGTGCCCAGCACCCTAAAGATTGTCGACCAAAACTTTTTAGGGAAGCGCGAGTCTCGATCAGAGACAATTGACTCCGAGAGTCCATGTTGTCGAAAGACACGATCGACAAAGACCACCACACCGTGTTGCCTGCCGAGTCCTTCGGCAGGCCAAACTCAAAGTCATACTCATGAACTGCCAACACCCGGAGGGATCGGTAAACAGGCAAACTGCGTTGCCACACTCGGGAGGTTTTACTCTTTGATACGTCTCACATGTGCTCGTCCATTTTTGTACAGCTTGGGCCACCAATAGTGGCAACTCACCGTGCTGAACGTCTTCTCACGACCGAGATGACCACTGAGTGGGGTGTCGTGGGCCTAATAGAGGATACAATATTTCAAATTCTCATCGTGGGAAACCACAATTCGTGGCGAATTTGCTGGGTCGGTGCTATAAAATAGCAACCCATTAAAAAACGAATATCGTTCTAACCGTGCTCGCAAACGCGCCGACTTCTTGTCAGACTTCCCAAAATCCTTGCTCCCAAAAGCCTGTAGCAGCGTTTCACATATACTGTCACCCGTGTATGCGGCGCGTTTCAAATCCGTCACTAACGACATCACCGTCGTGA